CTCCCCCGGGGGCGCGGGGTGGGGAACGCGCCGGCCGGTAACTGGAGCCCGGGAGCCTGGTCCCCTCACTCGGTCTCTCCTTGGCCCCGTCCCTCCAGGACACACGGAGCTCTGGGGAATGGTAACGGGACCCGGGAGCTGCTCACTGGGGAATTGAAACCGGATCTCAGAAAGCACACCGGAGGGAAGGGCCGGGAGCCTGCAGGGCTGCACCCTTAAATGAGGGGATCTAGCGAGATTCAAGGGGAGCGCGGGAGCAGGTGCTCTGCGCCACGCCCACCGAACGCCCCGAGGGCAGGCCGCTCACAGGTATTGAGCTGCAGCGGTGGCCCAAGGGCCTGCTTGGAGCTGGTCTGAAGCCAGCATCGCAGCTGCCCTCTGAGCCCTGAGATGGCAGAAGGTAAGGGTAGGGATCCTGGGGGGTAACGTGGCAGTGGAGCCATTCCTTGTACAGAGGGAGACAGTATTCCCACAAAAGTTACATCCCAGGCCCGGATATGATTGTTTGTGCTTACATATATTCTTCTGAAACGTGCCTCCTGTTGTGCATTTGACGGGAAAAACAATTTTTAAAACGTTTAGATTCATGATTTGGCAGGTGTGAATCCATCACCAATTGAGATAGGCTTAACTGGGGGGTGGGGGAGAATTCAGCAAATAACGCGTGCATCATGCGTAGCTCCCACATCAAATGAGCTCCTTTATTAAGCCTAACATCAACCCTGTAAATATTTCCCATTCTGTGAATGAAGAATGGGGCTCAGTGAGGTTAAGGGACTGAGCTGACCACGGAGTCAGTTATGCTGAAAGGAAATCATTTCTTCCGAAGCTGAATCTCTGGTCTCCCCAATCAGTTCTCTCAACAATCCAGTCCATCCCACATGATCCTCGGGCTACATCATGTGTTTCTCTGCAAAACGGTTTGTTCCTATGTCAAGACACTTAAATTGAACTTGGATTGCCAAGGACAGTATGATAATGCATAATACATTGAGTTAGTGGGCTCATATGCATTGAGAGTTTTAAATTATTAACTCATTTATACATGCAATAAATTATATATATATG